TATCCTCATATCCTAGAAGCAGAACGGTCATGCACAGTGCGGTTTTAAAGGAGCTTCTTGCCGTAAACACTCAGGTTCTGAAATGATTCTCCTACAGAGGTTTTCTCTAGAAGACTATATAGCATGGGAGTTTTAATGGTTAAAGATTATGTCCCACAGAAAAAATACTTCAATTGTGACAAAACTAGTATTTTCATTTAAAAACTAAACTACTGAATGAATTTTTATAAAATTTGCATGCGACCAATTTGTATGTATTTCCTTTTAGATAACAAAGAATTTTCCAGATCGGTTTAGAACTGGCGGAGTTAGAGATAACAAACATAAAAAAGCACAACCGAATTTCGAACCTTTTTTTAAACTTTTTTTTAATTCGATTGAAAAGGGCATATTAAGGTTTCTTAAGGGTTATCCTTGGTATTAAAGGCGTCCATGGGCTACGGTAACCCCGTTTACCAAAACACAGGCCGTATGCTTGTTTACCAGCATAGTAACATAAAAATAATGGTGATTTCGATTCATCTAATTGTTTCCTAAATGTAAAAACTGTTATTAAGAAACACTTATTAAACAATACCTATTACACTCTAAACGATTATTTAAATGACAAACGTGCATGGTGTTAGTCGATCATGCACGGGCTTTTAATGACCATGGTATTTTAGATATAGTATATTTAAATAAATACACACAATGCTCTGTTAATAGTGTAAATTTATTTATAAGAGCTTAAATTTTTGTATTTCTCGCGGATTCTTCTCAGTAGATATCAACTTTCCGAACCCAGCAGTATAAGTAATAGACAATGATTTAAAAGGCCTTGTAAACAAGTTAATGTGGAGAAAAATAACTTGAATTTAACGTTTTATTTTCAATAAATCATATGTTAGGTACTTAATATAGATTTTTATAATAATATTGGGTCTAACTCAAAGTACCATTTCTTATTTCTATTTGATATACCAGTATCAATTCCTTATTATTATATTTATTTTTTAAACTCGATCCCAAAGAGGGTTTTTTTTAATAGATTTTTTTATACAACTTAGAATGACAAACAAGCTGACGGTCCACCCGATGGAAAATGGTAACCGTCGCCTATATGACCGGCCACCTGCCTGACATCAACCCTCTTTGGGATGGACTACCGGTCCCATTGCTAGCAATATACCCTGTCAGGTCGATTTCCAGGTTGTCGCCCCCTGGAAACCATCGTACTAAATTCCAGATGTATTTATCACGATGGGCTAACTGACCTGAATTTTTATTCCCATTCCTTTATCATCTGTTGTGAATGAATTGCGTGAATTTACGGGGTACAGAGGAATAACACCTGAGTCCTCAGGAATGGCAACGCATGGGGGGTATCATGGGCGAAACAGTATACTCTGTTACGTCCATGGTACTGCTCATGTTTATAGGCGACGGTTACCACTTTCCATCAGGTGGGCCGTCAGCTTGTTTGCCATTCTAAGTTGTATAAAAATATATATATACTTAGACATAAATTTGGTGATGGTACTTAGAATCTTCTTTAATATTTTAAAATACATACATAATACATATTTAAATTATACCGACAATTGAACCGAGACTGAGGCACCATTTCTCTAAAGTTATCTCTTAATCTATGGGTTTAATTTGATAGTTTCCCAAAATTACTGTATTATAGACCATCTTAAACTAAATTTATAAAAAATTTTGATTTTATTAGAAATTTAATTCATATTGGTCCTTAGGGTAAAGATTTCTCTGTAATATGAAATAAAAAAAAATTATTTCAAAGATTTAGGCGAATAGTACCTCAGAATTGGCTTTATTATATTAGAAAACATACAACCAGACATTCAAATAAGAGTCCGTAGTAGTGTGCGTCGCGTCGGATATCCGTCGGCGCGAGACCCGGTGGCGGCTACACCGGGCGGCGCAATATCCGTACCGCCTCTACACGGGGCCCGTCTGATCCGTGCTAACTCGTATAGGTATAGGGGGAAAAGGGATTGTTATTAATGGAGACTGAGAATCCCATTGCTAGCAATATACCCAACCAGGTCGACCTCCTCGCGGTTCTCCCTGGAACCTATCATAGTTAATTCCTTATGAATTTATCATGATGGGCTAACTGGCCTGTTTTCGTTCTCATCTATCACCCTTCACTGGTGCTCCGCCAGCGTATCCCGTTAGCGCAGTGACAATTTTTAAAAGCATTCAGTAGAGTTGGTTGACAATAAAGCTTCCTTTTTTTCATTCATTACGAAGTATTTATTAATTTTAACCTACTTTCAGAAAAAACGTTTATGTTCACTTTTTTTTTTCCGAGCAGTAAGTACTATTTATTTTTCTTATCTTCGTGTATAATATAGTATATTTTATATATGTGTAAGTATATTTGTTATTTATATTTATTTATTTATTTATTTATTTATTTATATATTATATTAATAATTTTAGTGTGTATGTAGAACATGTGCTGAAGACGGGCCAAATTAAAAGTACCCGTAACCGGCGAGCGTGTATGAAAAGATTGATGAATGTGGAGGAAGCGAAAGAGGCTTGTTTGAATCAAAGTATTTGACGTTCCATTGTTTCTGCCTACCCTATTGGGAGACAGTCGTGACAGATATGTATGTATGTATGTGTATGTAGGTATATCAATTATTACTAGTACCGCATTCGAGTATTCTGACACTTGCCTATGGTTGATTGGGAGAGAATGCTTTTAGCATTAAGTCTGCCATGTACACATGCATGTAACTAATGAGTAAATAAATATTATAAATAAATACATAAGTATGGCAATATCCTAATTATATGCCGATTAAAAAAAAATAACATTTTTAAATGTATCTGTCGGAAGGGATTATTAGGAATAAAAATGTGCATAACATTTCTATCGCTAGCAATATACCCTATCAGGTCGACCTCCACGCGGTTACTCCTGGAAATCGTCGTGGTTAATTCTTGTGAATTTCATCACGATGAGCTATCTGACCTGCTTTCATCCTCACGTATCGTCTCTTATTGGTGCCTTACCAACATCAACCGATAGCGCAGGAGGGGTTACCATTTCATTATCACCCATTAAAAAAAACTGTATCTGTCTAATAATTTCAATAGTGCTTAGCGAATTGAAATGTTTTTTATGCAATAATATTCCTATTAAACTATTACAGAAAATTTTGACAGAAATGTATTTAAAAAATTCCGAAGCAAAATTTGATGTACGTACAAAGATATCAATGTTAGATTTATTTATTTATTTATAGCAAGGCAACAGATTACAAATTAATACATTTATAAAATAAATATTACATAAAACAGCATTAAATTTGCACTCCAACAACTGCTCTGCATAACATTCGATATTATATACGTTAAAAGAATGACGGCTATAAATTTAAAGTAACAAATTGGCAGCCTTAATGTAACATTGCAAGGATTGTTGGAAAATATCAAGATATAAGCAATGTTTTCTATGTTTAATGTTTTAGTTCGTTGGCAATCACAACACTTCCCAACAATTCAAAACACTTCCCAGGTAGCAATTATTCGTCATGTATTATGTCAGTATGAATCGAAAAAAAAAAAACAGTTAAGTATATATATATAAGTATATCTCTTGAAATGTTACTTGTTTTTTTACTTGCTAATGTATGTTATGTTCTATCACCAATAGTTTCCGCAGCGCACGCGATAAAAGATATTTTATAGCAATTTTTTTACACCTTGAGTTACGTTACTAAAGTTTTAGTAAGGATTCCTAATCTTTTCTAGCAATAAATATAACCTATGTTACTCAGGGTGAATGTAGCTTTCTAATGGTGAAAGATTTCTTGAAATCGGCAAAGTAGTTTTTGAGTTTATTCATTACAAACATATATACCTACGCACAAAAATAAAAATCTTCCCTCTTTATAATATTAGTGTAGATGGTTACTAATTTCCATTAAATAGGCTCTTAATTTATTTACCGTTTCAAGTATCATAAATAAATAAGTTCAGTTATGAAATTTGATAGACCGATATAAAAAGCTATTTAAATCTGGGCCTCTGTCTTTATCATTCTCATTTGTAAATTTCAAAATTTTTATAATCATTCCATTTTATTCATTATTTTTGTCTATGAAAATTTATAGTTAAATTTAGGAAAATTATAAATCCTGCTTTAAATAACTGAAGTAACTATAGATCGCGGATATATGTGTCTAATTCGATTATTATACTATCATATATTTCCTTCGTTTCCCGTAGGTGTCGTAGGAGGCGACTAAAGGAACTTAAGGGCCGAGAGATGCAGCGTCCCTCTTAAAATATCACTAAAGCTTGTCTGCGGTTACGAACCCGCCTACCAAGCGTAGCAACTACTGGCAGAATCCCTTCTTATGGGGGAGAATATGAATTATATATTTAATTCCTTTCTTACCTAATAAATTTTAGTATTTCTTCTTTAAATTAATTCAATTGTTTATTGATATGTATATTACATATTTCAGTAATTGGTTTCGGAAGAAGTTATTGGACGCATAGTTGATGTTGTTAAATATCATTGTTTTTTAAATATTCAATTCAATTCGATTTATTTATTGCATTCTACAATAATATTATAAAAGATGTTAATAATTGATACAGTACATTGTAGACCCTGTCGGGCGCAGCAATTTGAAGCGAGGAGGGCGTCGATCCTTAAATTCTCATAAAGATTTCAATAATTAAATACTTCAATTTAAATTTCATCAATGTAATTAAATTCTAATTTTTTTTTGTTTTCATATATTTTATTTTAATTTAATGCAATTTAATGTAGTTGTTCATATTTTTATATCATCTTACTAGTATCGTTATCAATTTTAGTATTATTAACTAAACCAGAAAGTAACGTAAGTAATATAACATCATCATGTCTCTACTTGATACAGATACTATTTTATTCTTAGACTAAATATTCTCTTATACTTCTTCCACTAGTTATCTTTTTAATTGGATGATCTCTTGCAACTTACCAGCGCTCTCCACAGCACCCGGCGAAACGGGCACAGTTTCGCACTCCCTGTCATCTCTTCTCTGTTCGAAATCACTCTGCACTCTACTAACTTGGCGTCCACCGTTCAGTCCCAATATCGCATCTATCGTATGCCTCGGTCCCTGATTAACACTTGTAGGCACTTGCGTCAAACCCAATCTCGACTTTACCGCGTCAAAACTCTGGTTGAGGTGCATTTGTTGGGCATGAAAGAACATGCCCATGCGATTCAGTGTCTCTAAGTTTTGCTGGTGCTGTGTTAACGATATAGACTGGTCGGTCACATTGATCGAAGACGTCGAATTCGGGCTACTCATTTGTGAGCGCGGACTATTAGTTTCCGAACGTTCCGGCGTCTGGTTGCCGAAGTAACGGTCCTCGGGCGCGTCCATTTCGACTCGGTCGGCGTACGTCACTGCCGCGCGTTTTCGTGCCCCGTACAGGGTAGACAAGGGGGCGGGGCCTAGAGAAAGGGGGGCGAGCGAAATTGCCCATTGAAAGTGCGAAATTTGGGGTCGCGAAGTGATTTTGTTTGGTAAGAAGCAAGAAGCGGCGTATTAGCATTTTCCCCCCGGAGCTTCTTTGAACGGTATTGAGAGGTTATGGTTGAATAGTTTTTTTTTTCGGTTTGATTGGGTCGATTGTACTAGGTGTTAGAGCCTTGACGGGAGTTGTTAGCGATTTCTTTGAGGGTTCGCACGGAGTTTATCAGTTGTTACGTGGCGTGTGCTAGTTGTGTCTCTTTAGGATTTTGGCTGTTTGCGATGTTTTTCTTAGACTTTTCATATATTTTTTTCATTACCTCGGAACTTATTACTAATAAAGGATCTTGTAATATCATTATTCATCACATTTTTTTAACGTTTAAATAATTGTATTACAATGGCTTCACATAATAATGTCATTATTAACTATTATCAAATAATATATAACATATAATAATTAACTACTTGTTCATATAAATAATTGTTAATTATATAAATAGGTTAACGAACCTAAATTAATTAATATAATCAATACATTAATCAAGAGGTTACCAAATGTGATACGTAAGTTGAAAAGAGACAGAGAATTACCGGACATCTGCCTGTTAACACACAAATTTAACCAAATCGGTTAACCCGTAACCAAACAATAACAGCTTTTCCAACTGACCACTCAAATGTCAATATAAAATAAAAACCACTTAAAAATTACACATAAAATTAGATTCTCTCTTTATAGTTATAAGCTTTAATTTTGAATGCAGCTAAACATAGATATGCGTCGTTTTAAAACGAGAAAGTCCATCGTCAATATAACTTTATCTTATTCGCACTTACGATGATCTCACTCACTCTCATCTCAGGTGTAGCGACCGTTGCTAGGGGGCGGGACGCGGCGTGACGTCACTCGCTGGCCGACCAATCACATGGCTTGTTTCCTTTTTTTCTTTTCCCGCGATTTCTTTTGTCGTCGCGTTTCTTTTGTTCGAGCGTTCGCGTTCAGTGATTGTTCGCAGCGGCTGTCGGAGGGTTAACTTTAGGAATAACAAGCTACTGGCTTTTGTATGAGATAACTAAATTATGGGTGCTTTTTCTACATTTATAAGGATTATTTTATATATTTTGGAAGTGGTTTCTATTGAGGGAAAAATGTGAAATACTGACCTGTACACTTATTTACTAAAAGAGAAGAAAGCATAATGTTCTATTAATTATTAATTAATTACTAAACAAATAACCACACAAAAAGACTGGTCCCCATTATTATATAATTATTTATTATATCATCTCCAATATAAAAAATATAGAAAAGTTCAAATTCAAAATTCGAAAAGACTATATTCGAATTTAGAAAAAATAAACTTACTACCTAAATTTATAGAACCGTTTAAATCTTTTCCTTAGTGGTAATTTTTTTTTTTAATATGTAGGTATCTAATAACAAAATGACATTAGGTGCTGTACACAATTGCTGTGATTTATAAAATCAAACTAGGTTATTTAAATTTAGGAATAGTGCACATTGATGTCCTATTTCTATTTTAGGTAATAAAAACATATTTAGTATCGGGATCATGTCAGCTGTTTGTCCACTATTAAACATAAGCCTTCCACATTGGGGAGTATTAGAAGTAGTTGCCATTTATTATTTATTTATTTATTAGTATTAGCAAGAAATAATTTAAATAGAAATTTAATGTAGTCATTATTCTTTTATCTATTTATTTTATTTTGCTATCGGTATACACCGGCGGGGCACCAGTGAGGGATGATTAGTGAGAACGAAAAGGCAAATCAACTACTACTTGTGACGATTTCAACGATAAATTAGTCACGACGGTTTCCAGGGGGAACCACGTGGAGGTCGACCCGGTAAGGTATATCGATAGCAATGGGGACTGACCTTCCCATTACTAACAATAATTTTCCCCTATATGTAGATATTTATACCATGGCCTTTTGTTTACCACTTATAAAAAAAAAAACATCAGTGTAAATAAAAGACATTTGCCGTATGGTCCCGGCATAGAATAGGCCACCCCTTTCTTTCCCGTGGGTGTCGTAAAAAGCGACTGAGGGAGAGCGAGGGATGGGCAACAGCGTCCCTCTTAAAACATCTCCAAAGCCTAACTGCGGTTGCCAAGCCGCCTGCCAAGCGTGAAAACTACTGACAAAACCCCCTAAGGGGGTGGCTTATGTTCATCAGTGGGCTGATATGATGATGAATTAAAATACTTTATCATCGATAAAAAAAATATTCGATATATTATTCTACGTGACTCTAGGTAAGACCTCTTTCTTGTAAGACAGTTTGTGAATTGCGAATTCTCAATTTAAATTTTTATTTTTTAAAATAAATACAATATGTTCTTTTCATATGCAGATAAGAGTTAAAAAAAAAATACATGGCTGAATATAAGATTTCTATTTGAATATTTTTAATACAATAAGTTATTTTTGTATTTTTGTAAAATACAAAATTGAAAAAAAGTACTTGGCTAAATTAAAGGTTTCTTTTTAAAATATTTTAATGGAGTAATTTTTTTTTTCTTTTTAAAAGTACAGAACTGAAAAATAATAACATGGCTGTGTGTATTTTAGTTTTAAATCAAAATTATCGGTTTTGCCGGAAATGAAGTCGATTTTTTTGGTACATATTCTTAAATTATTTAACGACATATTTTTAACTGAACAAATTAAATAGGTACTACTAGGAAAAGTACAGTCTTTCCATTTACTTATTTATATTAATCAACATCGCAGATTTAAGAAAAATATAAAATCATGTATCTCATTAACAGAATATTTTTAAAGTTTAAATAATGTATCTATTTATTTAGTTAATTTAATTGCATTTTGGCAAATGAAATATTCTCAATTTTAAATTATTCATCATCAGCATCATCATATCAGCCTTTAACTGTCCACTGCTGAACATAAGGGGGGTTTGCCAGTCGTTGCTATGGTTGGCAGGCGAATTGGCAACCGCAGTTAAGCTTTAGAGATGTTTTAAGAATGACGCTGCTGCCCATCCCTCGCCTTCCCTTAGTCGCCTCTTACGACATCCACGGGAAAGGATGTGATGGCCTATTCTATGTCGGGTCAATTTAAATTACTTTTTTTTTAATACCAACAATGTTACACCTACATGCACTATGCATATAGTTGCACTAAACAACAGTGCAGTAATACATTTGCCTGATTGCAGCGCTCGTTGAATATTTAACGTGGGCAGACAATTAATTCCAAAAACTCTTCACATGATTGTCGCACGCTAGTCGGTCCAATGGGTTTTAATTATACGTTAGCTTTTTAAAAGCAATTCAATTTTGTAATGAAAATTTATTGTCACAGAGATAATATGATGCTTTAGACGCTTTGCTTTGTCTGATGCTGGTATTTCCCTTGTACCTGAGTAGTTTTCGTCTGACGTTTTTAATGTTTATATATATAATAATTATATATATAAAGATTAAAAAAAAATAATGTCTCTAACCAAATTTTAAGAGAAAAGCGACTTTTTTTATACAATTTTGCGTAATAAATAGTTATGAATGATTCCTTTATAACTACTATGTTTATTTTATCTTATATTTTTTGCAATTTTTTTAATGGGTAAAAACTCATTTTATTTAGGTATTAAATAATTAAATATAGATACGTTAAATCACATTGTGCGCGTAAGTATTTTTCTTGTGCAACTTAGAATGGCAAACAGACTGACGGCCCACCTGATGGAAAGTGGCGATCGTTGCCTATAGGCATGAGCAGTAGCATGCACATAACAGAGTATACTATTTCGGTATATATACCTATATATAGGTAATATGAGTATTATATATATATATAATTTTTAAATTACTATTTTAATTTAATATTGTTATTGTTTTTCGGTATATTTGCTCATAACGTGTCACCGTCAATTATATTTTCTGTTATTCCTGTCTACAGTCGACTGGTAGATAACGCAATATGGTATTAACTCCGCCATTTTACCTAGATGTATTAAAGTTTAATAAATAAATTAATATATTTTTAATTAAAATTTTCTTTTTCAATTATACTAATATAATAAAATTATATCTTATTTGTTATTCACGTAAGGAGTCAACTAAACTTCTGCACGTCAAGTCATTGAGATCTTTTGTTCTTCCCCCTGCCTTATACTATCATTTTCTATTTTATATATATTAGATCTATGGTTTAAGATATATATAGTCTCCTGGCTCGAGATACGCTGTTCCCAATAGACTCATATGCATATTCTACGCCGGGACCAGATGACTAATTATATTATAATTAATATCTATTTACATAAAACAAAAAGCTTTTATTTACCAAAAAGACTGTGGACAATTCATGAGCATAGGTACCTCTGTTCACGAGTCCATGGTGCTGTTCATGTCTATATGGGAAAGTTACCACTTTTTATTAGATAAATAGATAGAATAAGTCATCATTGCAGCCATTATCCGTCCACTGCTGGACATAAGCCTCCCCTATACACTGCCACTGCAATGCATTTCAGGTCGTCACTCCATCTAGTGGCGGATCGTCCTACACTGCGTTTACCAATATTCGCTCGCCACTCAAGAACCTTTCTTCCCCATCGGTTGTCGGTTCTTCGAGCTATGTGACCAGCCCATTGCCACTTCAGCTTGCTTATCCTTCGGGCTATGTCGGTTCTTTTGGTTCTTTTGCGCATATCCTCGTTTCGGATTCTATCACGCAAAGAGACTCCGAGCATAGCCCTCTCCATAGCCATCCATGCATCCACCCATAGAGTCTTTATTAGCAACAATAATAGTTAAAAAAAAACAGCAATAAAAAAGAAAAAAAAGTTTACTGTACTGGGTTAACTGGAAGAGATCTCTGTCAGAGATAAGTCCACCCTTGCACACAACATTTATAAATAGA